TCTGCATCGCTCGGCAGAGGCGGGCTCCCCCCGCAGGGTCCAGGGCAGAGTGGGGCCTTGCTGCGGACTCCTACTGCCACCCCTGAAGTCTCAGATGGGCCAGAGTCACCACCTGCTCCTGGGTGGTCCTCCTCAATCCCTGACCCTCTCAGCCACACGCCATGAAATGAATGGGGGTGAGACCCCAGACTGCCTTCCCCCATCCCGTCCCCACACGCAGCCCTGCCTGGACCCAGAGGCCCCGAGGCCGTGCTCAGGGCAGTGCCCCCCTGGGCTGGGTGCGCTCAGGGTGTCTCTGAAGAAACACGGTCTGGGGTGGGCTCAGCGCAGAACTACCCTCCGCCGTAACCCTGAGCCGCAGCTCTCCCCGCACTCAGCCCTACCGGTCCTGCAGACTGGAGGCCTGTCGGGCTTGCTAGCATGCCAGCCAGTAGTGGGCCACTGGCCTCTGGGCAGCCACGCTAAGGGACAGCCAGTAGTGGGCCACTGGCCTCTGGGCAGCCACGCTAAGGGACAGCCAGCAGGTCACGGGAGCGAAGCCGAGCACAGGCGCATTCGGCGCAGAAGGTCCCTGAATGCCACAGCCATTCAGTGACACTGAGCCAACGGTGACCGATGCCAGACGCCACCCTACTTTACTCTAAAAGAATGATTTAATTTAACTTAACTTACTTATTTATATTTGACCAGAGAAGGACACAGTGAGAGAGAGAAAGCAAGCTGCCAGGTCCAGGACTCGAACTACGGTCGGCCATGTGCCCTCAACCGCACCGCCTTCTGGCCCTGACACCAACCTCCTCTTAACAGCAGGTGCCTCCTGTGGGCTGGGTCTCTCTAGAGCAGCCTGTCATGCCGGGAGCCCGGCCACCTCACGGGCTGCCTCTACCAGCACGCCGGGAGCCAGGACTTCAGTACCTGGCTCGGTCCACCCACCTAGGCCGCAGCCAGACCCCCGCGGGGCTCTGTCCCAAGCAAGTGTGCTCCCCCTTTCCCGGCAGCCAGAGCCACCCACGGACCCTGCCCTGCAGGCCAGGTCTCTATTGGGCTGTCACCGGCTCTAGCCAGCTCTGCCCCACCGTCCTGCCCCTAAAGGGGAAGGGCTGCGGCCCAGGCTGTGAGCTGGTCTGACCATAAAGGCACCCGTAAGAGGAGCCCTCGGGGGGGGAGCGTCTAGGCCACCGGATACTTCGTAATGAGACCCAGGCCCAGGCGCCTGCAGGCAGTGGGGAGGTGGGAGACCTCCCAGATCCTCAGGGCAGCAGCCTCTGCCGTGGCCGTCAGAGTGACAGCAGACCTGTGCCACCCCAACGGGGTGACAGTACACGAGATGCAGACCGCGCTCGATCTGAGCCCCATGGGCGAGGGTAAGGCTGTCCGCATGGGCAGTGGCCACATGTGGCCAGCACCCACACGCTGGCCCGGACTCCCACCACCTCGCATCTCACATCCCGAGGGCACCTACTCGGGTACACCTCAGTGTGGCCGCGCAGGCCTCGGAGAGCAGGTGCTGCTGGGAGAGCCGCGGCTCTAGAACCTGGGGCACCAGGAGCCGGGCCGGGCCGGGCGGTCCGAGCAGAGGCAGGCGGGAAGCCGGGGCAGCTGCTGGGCAGTGGGGAGGCTGACCTTGAGGGCAGGGATCTCGACGCTGTCGCCGAGGCTGATGGCGCCTGAGAGGACGGTTACAGTCATCACGGTGCCCTGGCCTCTGATGGAGAAGCAGTGGTCCACAGCCATGAGGAACGGCCCTGACGGGTCTCTCGTTGGGATGGGGATCTGCGACTTCAGGAGCTGCCAAGAGACACGGGGCATAGCCTGTCCAGAGAGTGCGGGGACAGGGCTGGGGTGCACCGGCCAGCAGGTCACCGAGGTCACCAAGTGCCCCGCACTCCTGCGAGCCAGCGTCCAAGTGTGTCCCGGCTCCACCACACGCCCAGGTGCAGGGAGAGGCGAGGTGTCGCCAGGGGCAACCTGCAGGCCTGGTCCACGGGCAGGGCTCTGGCACATTGCCCAGCGGTACGCGCATTCCCAGCCTCGGAGGCCGGCGGGGGAAGGTGCCTCTCGCCCTGGCCCCTGGCCTCATGCCCACTCCCCGCACGAGCCTCCTCTCCCCTGGAGACTACTCTGGAAAGACTCGGTGTAGCAGAGCCCCGCCAAGACCACGGCCAACACCCTGCTGTGACTATTTACCTGCCCTGCACGGGGGAGCAGAGGGCAGCTGCCCGGGCTGGGGGCGGGGGCAGGGCCAGAGCAACCGCTGGCCACTCCCACCAGCCTCAGCAGAGATGGAGAGCAGGCCCTGTGTCTGCCATGTGCTCGAGCCCTGGTGGCTGACGCCCTCGAGCGCGAGTTGGAGACAGTGTCGGAGCCCGTTACCAGCAAAGACACCGGAGGTGCATCCCCTCTCACCCTCTGCTTTCCCACTCGGGAGCAGGCCGCCAGCCACTGGCAGCAAACCTCCCAAAGTCCTGGCACTGTGGTGACAGTTCCTTCGGAACAAGAATGGAGCTTCCAAGGGGCCGTGGCCTGCTGTCTGGCTCCAGGTTCCTAACGGAGCAGACAGGCTTCGCTGGCCCGGGCTCCCAGGGCAGAGCTCCCTGGAGCTGCAGGGAGACACATAAGCACCCAGACACACGAGCTTTGCTGAGTCAGCAGGCCAGTGCCTGGAGACCCAGGGCACGTGGTCACCCCACGCTCAGCTCCGCGGAACGGGGCCCGCAGATCCCAAAGCCAGCCCAACCCCAGTGTGGGTCCGGCCCTGGCCCCCGTGGACTCGCTGGCAGGCCTGAAGAGTCCTGCAACCTGACTCTGCACCACTTCCTGGGATTACGGGATGAGTAATGAGCCTCGGGGTGGCTGCGAGTGCTAATGACACTGTGCATAGGACATGGGACTGGCCTGAGCAAGGGACGCTGGGCCACCGCCCCTTCCTGGCCCACTGGAGGCCTCGGCTCACTCGACCCTCAGACCCACGAGGGAAGCCCTGGGATCCCCTTCCCTGCTTTCTTTCTCTGATTTGTTTTGGAGAGGTTTTTGCTATAGGGCACGTGCACTCGCCAGAAAGACAGAGAGAGACAGAGAGACAAAGCGAGAAATCACCCCCCAGGGGGGATGGTAACGCCGCAATCCCTTCTCCTCCATTCTCCTCTCAGGATCTTGGGCACGCACACACATGCGCCAGGCGTGAGTTTAAGCCACTGGGTCTGGAACTCGAACCGTGGTCGACTATATGGGAGTCCAGCGACATAGCCATTACACTAACTGCCGGTCCCCTTCCCTGCTTTCTAGGTGAGACAATCGAGGCAAGGGAGCAGACCTAGGCCTGAGAGCACAGGGAGGCCGTGCAGGCACCACAGCCACCCTCCGCCCCCGACTGCCCTCCGCCTTGCAGTGCCACCTCCCACACTGCACACGCCCTTTCCACCAGCTGCCCTGGGATCCGATTGTGTGGCTGGGCTCCCCTGCACCACCAAGTCTGGGGCAGGCCTGGGCCTCAGGCTTGCAGCTGGGCCCCCAGACATGGGCATGGGGTGGCTGGAGAGGGTGCCTGGGTCCCTGGCGCCTTCCGCACGGCCACGAGTGAGGAGAGGGTGGGAGCAGTTGCACGGGGGCGGGCGAGGAGTCCACCAGAGCACAGGTGCTCGGGTGTACGCCCTGGAGGGAGGAGGGCCTGCCAGGCCGAGAGGGTGAGTGGGGCCCAGGGGCTCCGGTGGGGCCGCGGCCCCGTCTCTGGGCAGAGGACACCGCGGGGCGGGGCCTGCCTACCTCGATGAGCTCCGGGATGCCTTGCGGGGCTTCGGTGTCAGGAGCCTCCGGGCCCCCCGGCTTGGCCGCCACAGGGATGATGGGGGCCCCTCGGAACCCGGGGGGGGGGATGGTGCCC